AAAAGTAGGTAATAATTATATTTACACCACAATTTTTATTTCTTGCAGTGCGTTTTAATTGCACTTAAAGTTCTTAATCTTTTCTCACTATAACACTTATATCCCTAACAATTTTTCATACCATTCCCATCCTCAAACTTTTCAGTAATTAACATATTTTGTATTTGATAACAGTTTTATGTCCAAAAGTCCGTTGAAATGGGGTAAATTAACATATTTTTTCATCATGTTTTTTTTAAAATAAATAAATAAATAATGTATAAAAAATATTTTTCTTTCATTTTCAAAGTATGAAAACAAAATATTTTGATATAAATTATCAGTAAGACAAAACGTAATAAATAATGAAAAGTTGAATATAAGAAGTCGACTAAAAGTGTTAAATAAATAATTATTATAATTAGTAAAAATTGTAAAATTTAATTGCAATTAAGACGTGGTGTATGAAATAAAAATCACAGTCTTGTGTGACCCCAAATCACGTTCTGGGAGATTTGGGATTAGGGTTTATCGTGGCCCCAAATCGATTGGAATTTGAGGGTAGCCGATTTGGGAGAATTGTGAATAGTGGGTGGGTTTTAATTGTTTGGTTTTTTTTTTTTTAAAGTTAAAAAATTGTTTAAAAAATTCATGCTGCTTGTTTTAATTGGTCCAGCGTGTGTGAGTTGGAATTTTAACGGTTGTCCGACTGCCACCTAGGAAATCCATCTGCCACCCACAGACAGATTTTTTGACGGTGATGGATGGAGAGGTAAATGGTAAAGTTGAGTAAGTACTTCGAAGCACAATGAAGTTTAGTGAGCAGTCCGTGATCCAGGTATAAGATCAGTGAGTTTTGAAACAATTCACTCCAAAGAATCAGACTTTTCGTAACCCCGTTTCCTCCTCCTTGTGCAACCCTTGGAATTTGATATACCTTTTGCAAAAAATCCTCCAACCTACGTTTCTACTGCCCGCGGCCGCGATTCAACATTGTTCGATTCAGCCAGGTCATCCAGTCCGCCACGCGGCCACCACCATTCTGCCCACTGCCAATCCAAACGTCAGTTTTTCTTTGCTTTGCCCAAAGTTCAATCATTATCTGATTCTGGAATTTAAAATTTTGAAATATATTTGTGATTTTTTATTTTTGATTTGTGATTGGTGATGAACGAATTGTGATTTGTGAATGTAGATTATACATTCATCCACTATAAATTTTGATGAGTGCAGATTATATTGAAATTAAAGAGAAATTGGTTTCTTTAGGAAATAGGAGATAAGAGAAAGCAGAAAAAAGAATGATTATTAAAGCAGGGAAAAGAATGAATACCACGCTTAAAATGTCGTGTATTTGGAGAATACCAAAAATGATACTTCCATAAGCAAAACTGATTTCACATAATTTTCATTGAAATAATTCCTCCTTCCTTACGCTTAGGCATATATTCTTTGAGGTTTTTTTGCTGTCAAAAAAAGAAATTAAAGTTGGAAGACGTCGTGAACAGTCTAAAGTCAGTTTCTCCTGACTAATCTATCTGTACCCATTCAGCAATCAGCATTTATTTAGTGCTTGGGTGGGTTTTTTTTTTTGAAGGGTAGTGCTTGGGTGGGTTTCATTATAATTTATTTATATTATAATGTGATAGAAATAAGTGGTGGATAAATGGGTAATAGTTGAGGGTCCTACAAAATGTGTGGTTAAAATTGAGATTTGACATTGTCATATAAATTATAAGGATATTTTAATGAAAGACAAAAATACTCTTATTATCACTGTCTGCCATTCTAATTGAAATGAAGTAGTTGAATGGATTGAGTCCGTGGTAGCTTGTAAAGTAATTATGCATATTGGAAGTGCTCTTATTATCATTGTTAATTTGTAGCACTTTAATTTTTTCACAACTTTTTTGCAAGTTTGATAGTGCCCTTCAACTTAAATTGTCTGCGTCCGCAATGGCAATATAACCCCCCTTCAAAAGTTTTTCATCAATCCTTCATTTTAAAATATTATAGATAGATAGATATAGATTGTAGATGTAGATATATAAAGCTTTGACACAAGTTAGGCTTGTTGTCTAAAATTTGACTATGCTAATCTGAATAATCCCCAATCCATTTCATCTCGAGTCATTTTATTTTCTTTATTCACTTTCGGTTTCTCTCTCTACAGAAGAAATTTAAGGTGAAACTAAACAACCTAATCTCTCCTATCATATAAACTAATGTTTTTTCGCTGTTATGGGTAATTTTCTTAGTAAATCTCATGCCTTTTTGTCCTTTTAAAAATATTGATTTGATAACAGGAAATATGGAGGGGGATATACAGAATATGAAGAAATGGGTAGTGTTTTACCCAATTTACATTAATTCGAAGAAAACAATTGCAGAGGGTGGGAGGATCAATATCAGTAAAGCATGTGAAAACCCTACTTATGCTGAGATTTATGATTGCTGCAGCCACCTGAAACTCCCATGCGCTATTGAGGTATAACTTATATGATTTATGCAGTTTTTAATAACATTTTTAGTTTACGAGCTTATATTTTGGGTATTTGTGTGAATTTTGATGGGTTTGTCAGGTTTTGTTTTATAATAATTCCTTAGTATTTATGCATATATTTTGTGCATTTTTTATGAATTTTGATGGGTCTCTGTGATCTTG